CAGCAAAACAGTCTGCCCCAAACAGTGCCAGTGAACCGGACGAATGCGTGGGTAAAGGAGTCACCTTTACTTAGGCAGGCTCCAGCAACAAGCAGCCACGCCACCACTCAGGACTCCGGCAGTGACAGTGTAACGGTGAGTGAAGTGGCTACTGTGGCTCAGAGAGAGGGTCATAATAATATGGTCAAGGAAGTGTGGGCTGAACTTAAAAAAGTTGGTGAGTTCCTCCAAAATCTGGGGCAGAGAATCGAGTCCATCGAGGCTAAATTAAACGTTCAGGAGGTCAAGGAAAATCACAAAACGGTGAAGGATAGTCAGGATATAGTGGTTGAGGAAAAAAATGAAATATTGAGTGATGAAATGAAGGAAAGTGAAGTGTGTGTGAATGATGGTAGTCGTAGTGAAAGGAAGAGCCCTATAATTACACATAAAATGAAGGAATCATTTGGGCCAATAATGGACATCTCAGGGCTGAAAAAATCTCTTGAGAATCGCAATGTCGCTTTTACTGGTGAACTTGGGAGGAGGTGGGAGATGTTATACAAGGTATGGCTATCATTTAGTGAACTTATTGGGGATGACTTAGGCAATGAATTGATTAATAATGGATCACCCTAGACTGAAAGTGTTGTCATGGAATGTTAATGGTTTGAGAAACAGGGTTACAGATGTTCATTGTTATGTGATGGGAAATGATATTGATGTTGTAGCTCTCCAGGAGACAGGGGATAGGAATGAAGGATTATTGAAATTAAATGGCTATAAAGGGTTTCACCTCTTCGCTGCAAATAACATCAGAGGCACGTCGATTTATGTTAAGAACTCCATACCAGCAGAGTTAGTAGAACCGCCATCAAAAACGCAAGGTATAGAGAGTGTTTGTGTTAAATTATCATTAAGGGAAGGGGAATTTATTGTAGTTAATTTGTATGTATCCAGGAACTGCTTCGACGCTAACTATTTACCTGACTGCATTTATACTAATCCTTCACTGGTCATTGGGGACCTTAATGCTCGGCACACAAGCCTTGGGACAGTGGGTAGTATTAATACTAATGGGGTCAAGTGGTTACAGTTTCTACAAGATCATCCAGATACCTGTCTATTGGGAAACAATGAACCAACTCACATCAGGGGAGGACGGCTTGACTATGCCTGCGTTTTAAACTCTCAGGGGATTATGGGGGAGGCTCGGGTTGTTCGGGAACTACTTAGTGACCACTTTGCCTTGAACGTTGAATTACCACTGGGGAAAAAACAAGTCCACTTTCAAAGGAAAAGGCTAAATATTAAGAAAGATATGAAAAATTATTTTATTCAAAATATGGGAGATTGGTATCAACATTACACGCCGCTCTGCGTTGATAGTTTTTACGAGGACATGGTCGAGAACATAGAGAAATTAGTACAGAGGGAAAATAACGGGGGCAGGGGAAGCAAGACGCACGGACCTAAGAAATTTAAATATTCCAATGATCAGCAAGTCAAGGGATGGGAGAGAATGCTACGGGGTGCGCATAAAGCATGGTTAAAAAATGGAATGAGGGATGAAGAGAAAAATACAATGTTGGAAGTGGCTAGGGAATGCAGTCAGGTGAGGAAGGAGGCGCGGGACAGATACTGGCAAGACTTTGCTCAGGCCATTGGTAATACTAAGAACCTTAAAGACATATGGAGAGCAGTAAATAAAGTCAGGGGTTGTAAGACTAAATTCATTGCTCACTCAGATCCAGGGAAAGTTGCTAATGAGTTAGTAGATAAATGGGCAAGTGCTGCTGGTATGGAGTCCTTACCTGCAGACACGAGAGTCACCATTGAGTCATGGGAAAATATTAGAAATGGAGTAACTTTATGTGCCTTAAATACAAGATCTATAGCATGCACTGAGATAACCCACGATGAGCTACTGGATGCTATAAAAAGTGGCAGCTCCACTGCTCCGGGAAAAGATGGAGTAACGTATGACATACTTAATTATTTAGCCGGTATGAAACCTAATCCCTTACTTGATTTGTTTAATATGAGTTATAGAGAGGGAAAGTTACCAAGAAAATGGAAAGAGGCTGTCATCATTCCTATCCCTAAGTCAAACGGAGGCTACAGACCTGTCTCCTTAATATCCTGCTTTTGTAAAATGATGGAAAGGATTTTGTTAAATAGGCTACTCTACCTTGTAGGTGATAACATGTCCAATAATCTCTTTGGTTTTATCAAAGGCAAAAGTACTGCGGATTGTCTCTTAAAGTGTTTGTCTAATGTGGATGACAATTGTAGAGTTTTTGTTGATCTACAAGGAGCGTTTGATAAAGCCAATGGGGAAGTAATCTTATACGAATTAGCCAATCTGGGAATAACAGGGAGATTGCTACACTGGATAAGGGATTACCTGCAAGGCAGAAAAGGTCAGGTGTATTACCAGGGATACATGTCTGAGGAACGGAGGTTTCAGTTAGGTACCCCACAAGGGGGAGTATTAAGTCCCACCTTATTCAATGTATTAATGAACAGATTAGCATCAGAGATGTATCCTCCAGGGGTCACGACGATCATATATGCTGATGACATTCTTATACAAGGCACTTCTGGGAACAAAATTCAAGATGCTCTTAACATACTTGGTACAACCTGTCACAAGTTAGGCTTAGTTATAAATGCAGATAAAACCAAATACGAGTATAGGAAACGAAGAAATATAACACTTACTCTAAATGGTGTGGAACTGAGCCGTGTACAGAAGTACAAGTATCTGGGCATGTATGTTGGATACACATGTGAGAGTAAAAATGCTGAAATAAATCATATCAGCACCTTATGTAAAGCCCGTCTGCATCCTCTAAAAGCACTGGCTTTTTCTGGTAAAGGTGTTGGGGTACCTATCTTGCGGATGTTATACATAAGCACTGTTCGATCCCTGATAGACTACGCAGCACCCGTATTGTCTTACACAGGCCAAGGCAGAATTCAAAAAATAGAGCTGATACAGAACGAGGCTATGAGGATTATTCTTGGATGTCAAAGAAATGCAATGATTGAAATAATGAGAATGGAATTAAATTTACAGAGTGTGTGTGATAGAGTCCGTGACATTAACACTAGAGTATCTATTCGTTTCATGCGGAGAAAAGGAGGGGATAAGCTGTTTGAGAGCGTTCAGACCTGCTTGAGTGACGTACACACTTCCAGGAAACTGAGGGAGACTCGCTATACGAGAGGATTAGCTCATGACCTCAGGGAATACGACGTACTTGACTGCTGTAAACCCTCTCGAAAGTGTAATATGTCTGCTCCCTGGAAAGTACAGAAAATAGACGTCGAAATTGTACCCCTCAAGGTGAAAAAGATTCATCATGAACCGGGACAATTACGGTGTTTGTATGGAAGCATGATATCTCGGTTACCAAGAGGCAACAGTTTACATGTATATTGCGACGGGTCGGTGGCGGAGGATGGCAGGGCAGGGTGTGGTGTCCTAATAAGGGATTATACGGAGTTTGGGACTGTGGACAGGATAATTGAACTCCGGCTTAGTAATTATATATCATCCACACAAGCTGAACTGCAGGCCATTCTGGCGTGTTTGGAGGAAGTACGTCATGACGACAAAAATGTTTTTGTATTTGTCGATAGCCGAGGAGCACTGGAGTCCTTAAACAGTAGAAACCCAGTCTTCATGTCTATAGTGGAGGACTGTAAGAGAAGAATAACTGAGATACAGCTGAAAGGTTATAGTGTGAAATTCATGTGGATTCCATCTCATGTTGGAATAGTGCTCAACGAGGTGGCGGATGACTTGGCCAAACGTGCCACATCAAAACCACAAGTTGACATTGAATGTGAATTCACAATGAGACAAATAAGAAGCAAAATCAGAAATATTCAGGCACAGGCGGGAGTGGAGAGGAGAGAGATAATGTATGAGAGTAGTCAAACCATGCAACACTACATGTATGTGAGTCAAAACACCCATTTCACTTATGGTAAAAGGAGAAATGCTTGGAGTGACTCTGTGTACATGCGGCTCAGGCTTGGGTACAAATATTACTGGGAATATGGGATAGATGTTCATGGTAATGACACGAAGTGTAAACTATGTGGTATGTTAAGGTCTCACACCCTTGCCCATTATATTCTTGATTGTCCGTTGATTAGTGTATATAGAAACACTGAGATAAGGACTGTTCCTGAACAAATAGCCTGGATGTGTCACAACGGAAAGGTTGATGATATTCTTGAGAGATATAAGAATTTTGCACCAAGATTGTAATATTTTGTTGAATTATCTGCAGGTGTCTTGCAAATTGTCTATACAGTATACCTAGGTCATAAAAGTATTTGTGTGTACGTCTGATACCATACTCCTTGTGAGGGAGGAAATGTATATTTTTACCTCTCAGAATGTTTGGTAATATGTTTATTTGTGATGTGTGTATATGTATATATTAACACGTTGTACTGAACGGGGTGAGAATAGCTTGAGCTACCTCATCCCTTTGTGTGTATTTTACCTCAATAAACTTATTTCAATTTCAATTTCAATTCAATTTCAGTAAATTACTACTTACAGTTAGCTGACCATTCAGGTAAATTCAGTTTAGTGAGCCCCCCATACCCATCCTGTGGGTATGTAAGTGGTGGGTGTTATATGTAGTCACACTATAGGTTCACGAACTGCATGGATCTTGAAGCTAAATATGTTTTTAAATGGACTGATGGGCTAATTAAAGGGCACGTTAAACAGTTCACACTTGTGGCGAGGTAGTTTATAGAGCTTAAATATAATTCTAGCTACCCTATACTTGTGGGAGGAGATGGAAATGTTACACGCACGCACTATACGCACAGTAGACCTATTTGGAATACCCAAATCCCGCTGGCTATTCTTACATAGGTAAAAATTGGTAGGTATTGGCACATGAGCAGTGTTACCAGGCAGGGAGGAACTCCTGGTGCCAGTGAGTGGAGGAGGTAAACAACCCGCCGCGCGTGGCTACACTGCACCAGTCACCATGTCGAGTGAGGACTGGAAGGAGTGTCCGGACTGGCTCGCTAGAATTGGCTTAATAAGCCGCGATCACATGCTCACCTCGCCCAACGCCAAGCTAACCGACCTGTGCAGGTTCCTGCGGGATGGGGTCATGATCTGCAAGCTGCTGCACATCCTGGACGAGGACAGCATAGATCTGAGGAGCATCAACCAGCGGCCCCAGAATGCTCAGGTACTGGCCCGCTCGGCTCTCCTAATCTTGGCCCTCGGCAGCTTCTCGCACCTCTACACACTCGCCATTGTCAGGGATTTTGTGGGGCGACAAGTGGAATGTCCGTTTGTTACTCGTATGTAACCTTAGATGTGATATTTACGGCAGGAATGAACGAAACATGGTACGCGGCTCGGCCCTTATTTCTTGACCACCATCGCAAGAATTACTTTTTTTTTTTTTTTATAACACGAATTGGTCATTATGGTATTGTGGTAAGGTTGGGAGACTATAGTGTGGTGGTATTTTAGTGAAGTGTACAAAGGGAGGTAATTTTAAGTGATATTAAAGCGTACTCACTTAAAAGGCTGCTTTGGGGTAGGTAAAGGTTCATTGGCAACTGGGCTGCTGTAGTGAACAAGTCAGATAAGTCACATTGTACCCAATAGGGTTCACAAATGAATTTTGAAGCCTACCTAACCTTACCCAACTTGACCTACTCATCCTAACCCTACTGAACCCAATACAGGCAAACTCAAGCCAACATAGTCTAGTGTAACCATTTACCTTTTTGGAATCCTGAAAATGAGCCTTTTTGAACTTGTGTACAATTTGACTTCCCCCCAATGTTTTAACAAATATTTTGGAGCATTTAGGGGACTTTTGACAAGTCGCCAGCTTCCTGTCTTCGTCGAGGCCACTAGCGAGATGGTGGTCCCTCGGGTAAATTTAGGTAAATTATGTTGTTCTATACATATATTAATGCAATAGTAATGTGAAGGTTATGTTTGTAGAGCTTTGATCAGCAAGCAGGACATTCACTTCATAGACCAGTGTTACAATAGTTAGTTAGTTACAATAGTTATCATGAGATTATTTCGGGGCCTATTTTCCGTGTGGCCCGATTCTCGACCAGATCTCCTTTTTGTTACACTCCCCGGGGAAGCAGCCCATAGCAGCTATCTAACTCCCAGGTACCTATTTACTGCTAGGTGAACAGGGGTATTAAGGTGAAAGAAATTGCCCATTTGTTTCCGCCTCCACCAGGGATTGAACCTGGAACCTCTGGACTACGAATCCGAAGTGCAGTCCACTCAGCTGTCAGGCCCCAGCCCATATAGCTGGAAAGCAAGGGGATGGAAGGGTTAGGATAAGGATACTGGGAAGTTTAATCTATAAATTCCAATTGTATAATTTTTTTTTTGTAACTGGTACACCCAGACTGTAACGTATTATATATTGTGGCCCATGGTCATCAAAATTGGTTTTTCCCACCAGTGATTAGGTACAGTGGGGCCTCGATTTACGATGGTAATCCATTCCCAGAGACGTATCGTAAGTCGAAACAATTTTTCCTATAAGAAATAAAGGGAAATGAATTAATCTGTTCCTGACTCTCCAAAAAATTAACTTCAAAGTTAATTTTATATCTTTCACCCAAATCTTTACTACAAAAGTATGTACAATATATTACTTACCTTTACTGAGGACTTCTGTTGGTGTATGGAAGATGGCTTGGAGGGTGGAGGAGGAGAGGTGTTACTGTTTGGAAGGGAAGTCCTCCTTCCATATAACATCAGGCAGTGATGATTTCTCTGGGGTACACTCTATGTTTTGCCTGCATACTACTAGGACCTGGTTGTGGTTCACTGCTAGTTTGTCTCGCTAAAAATTTGTCTAGCAACACTTGTTTTTCCCTTTGTTTTAACATTTGTCTGTAGTGATGCATCACAGTGTCATTGAAAAGGTTAAGGCAACGGCCTACTGCAGCTTGATTTGGGCGAGTCGTTTCAGCAAAAGTTTACAGTTCTTCCCATGCTGCACACATTTTCTTAATTTTTGAGGAAGGGATATTCTGTACTGCCTCTATGGTCATCCTCACATGTGTTTTCATATGTTAAACCTTACCACTGGCTTTCTTGGGACTCATGGCATGATATATAATAATCAGTTTTATGTTCAAAAAGTAAAAATTTGCCAAAAAAAATAGAATTTCTTGTAAGCGTGATTGTCACTAAGCAGGCGGTTCTAGTAAACTGAGGCAGGTCAGCCCGCGCGACCGGGAACCATGCGCTTGGTCGACCTGAACGTGTATCAACAAATATCATTAGTCGACGACACTATGGTAAGTCAAGTCGCATTTTCTGATCAAATTTATATCGTAACTCAAAATTATCGTAAGTGGGGGCAATCGTAAGTCATGGTGCCACTGTACATGGATCTTATTATGTTGTTCTATTCCCAGACAGAATCACAGGATAGGAGGGATTTAAAAGAAATTTTTACTGAGCTGTGCTATGAGGCTTAGATGCAATAGGTGTACATATTGCGAGCTTATCTATATACATCCTCTATATGTACAGTATACCTTTTTGATGTGGACTTCAGGAGACAGGTCCAGTGCAATATTAGCTTTCTCTTCTTGATTGCGAAAATCCTTCGGGAATCAGGAAAAAAAGATCTGGGGATTGATATCTTGCCCGACCTCTCCCCCTGAAGTCCACATTATAGGGATATCGTCAGGTGAATATGCAAGTCTGGCAAACATTAGAACTGCCTACAGAAACGTGTATAAGGAATGATTCAGAATTTTGTACACCTCGTATGTCAGACAAGTCCTGGTGTATGTAGAGTTCATATCTAGTCAAACAAAATAGTTACAGAATGTTCAGAGCTATGCCACCAGACTAGTCTCCAAACTGAAAGGCAAGAGCTACGGGAAAAGACTACTGGAATTAAACTTAACAACACTGGAAGAGAGAAGTTAGGGGAGATATGATTCCCACCTCGGAGGAATTGACAGGGTAGAAAAGACAAACTAATTAGCATAGGTTTTGCACAAACATGGGGACACAGGAAGAAACTTAGTACAGTACCCAAATGAGCCACAGGGACAGTAGTAATAATTTATGTATCAGAGTAGTTAAAGAATAGTTAAATGGACTGCATCAGGAAGTGATCTGGTGGAGGCAAGACACCACATACAGTTTCAAATGTATATATGATAGCCAAACAGGCTCAGGAACCTGTACACCAGTTGATTCCCAGTTAAGAGGTAGGACCAAAGAGCCAAAGCTCAACCCCCAACAAGCACAACTAGGCGAGTACAGTACTCATTCACTTTGTCAATTATTTTTACAGTATATGAAGTTATTCATCATAAGCACAGTATTGTGTAAATTAATAAATGACATAACAAATGTAAAAATATCCTGGGTGAACATTAGCATTTTCTTCCCATAACTGTACCCCACTAACAGCAAACTTCGCAACTGGTGTCAAAAGGCAGTGACTCCACCACCTGGCTTCCTCCTACAGTTCTTCAAACCAGAAAAGATGTGCTGTCAGATGGGGCTATTGAGAACAGATGGGGCAATTGATATTACATATTAGATAGGACATGTAATATGGCAATTTGCTGTTATTGCCTTTTGGGGTTGGCAATATTAATTTTTTAGGTTAGCATTTCTCATGCTGGTTGTGTACAATTTTGTCTTAACTATTTTGTATTACCACTTAACCCCTAAAGTGCAGCTATCATAAATGGTGCCATTGCTTGTGTTACCTGGTTGATGGGGTTCTGGGAGTTCTTCTACTCCCCAAGCCCGGCCCGAGGCCAGGCTTGACTTGTGAGAGTTTGGTCCAAACTTATGCAAATAAAAAAATTAAATCATTTGTTCTTATAAAATGGTACATTTTCATGCAACCCTTACCTTGCGATGATTCCAGACCACAAGGTCGTCTGGTGATTGACCAGACGACCACCTAGTTGGTGGCCTGGTCAACCAGGCTATATAATGTAACTGCTCACAGCCTGACCTATGACTCAGCCTGGTTGATCAGATTTCTTTTGGAGGTGTTTCAAGTTATGAAATGTTCAATAAATTACTAAATTTATTTAAAAACTCATGGCTGAGAAGTGTTGCATTTGCAATAAGTTTCTGAAAAACAAACAAATTGAAACTACCTGTACTGGTAATTAAATAGAAATAAAGATTTGAGTTTATTGTCTGGAAAGAGATTTATAATACTGTATAGGGAAATAGAAAAGCTTTTAGTTGCTCAAATTGTGAGGAGTTATATACTGTAAGAATAAATATGGTCTTATGGTATACAATTGCTGTACTCTACAGTAATGTACAATTATTAATTACATTTTTGCATGACAAATCTTTACTTAATTTTTGAGTTAAATTGCAATAATATACTGTATGTACAGTACCAGTATACAATGGAACCTCGATTAACGAATTTAATCTAGCCCGGCACCTAGCTCGTCATGTGAAACGCACTCATCTTTCAAAATGAATTTCCCCATTTAAAATATGGAAATAAAATTAATCTGTTCTACCACTGAAAAGCATCAATATGATATTCAATTTTTTAAATAATGGAACAGCCCACCTGACATACACTGAACAAACTTTTGACATTTTTCTTTCTTCAAATTTGTTCAATTTTATTTTTTATTTTTTCATTTCTTAAGAAAATGGAGCAGCCTACTTGACATATACTGTACACTGAACAAACCTTTATGACATTTTCTTTTTTTCAGATTTGTCCAAAATTTTTTTTACATTTTTTTTATAGAAAAAGGTTCGTTCAGTGTATGTCAGGTAGCCTGCTCCAATTTTGTATAAAAAAATGAAAGAAAATTTAACACATATGAAAAAAGGAGAAATGTCATAAAGGTTCGTTTAGTGTTTGTCGTGTAGGATGCTCCATTATGACATTTTTTCTTGTTTTCAAATTTGTTCAATTTTTGTTTTTCATATTTTTTTTATTAATAATTGAGCAGCCTACCTGACATACACTGAACGATCCTTTATGAAATGTCTTTTTTTCAAATTCTTTCAATTTTTTTTAAATGGAGCAGCCTACCTGCCATTCACTGAATGAACATTTTTGACATTTTTTAAATTTTTTCCAAATTTTTTCTAATTTTGTCTAAAAACAAAAATCAATGCTTTGCAACATTACAGCAGTCACCCCCTTTACATCCCAGCATCATTAGCATCTTTAAAACAAAAACCAAAAAAGTTATTTGCTTCGTCGGGGTGTCAGAATTTGAGAACCAGCGGGAACGCTAGGAAGCGCCTTGTGCTTTTCTCGTTAATGAAACGACAGCTTGTCAGTCGACAAATTTTCGCCGAATGTCATGCTCGATATTCGAAATGCTCATAGATTGAGGTGCTCGTCACTAGAGCACTGTATTCTATTATATTCAATAGGGAAAGCCTACTTAAATTGACTAAAAATAATACAAATACTGTATTTTAAAACAGAACTTTAAAAAATCCAAATGGAATCAGGAATGATATTACTGTATAAAGGTTTTCAAGGTCACATTCTATTGTACTAGTTAATGCACTTCTTCCTTAGTATGGGAATTAATGCTACATTGTTTATTCCCCAAAATAAAATAGTGTATTGAAGACTAATGTGTGTGTGACAGTTTTTTACTGTAATTTAATTATAGTAAATAACTGACTGAAATAACCCACATTTCCTTGCCAATTTTCTCCAGACTAATATTAAATGCGACATTTTCTTTCTTAATCAACAGTTCTTGTGCATGAAGAATATAGGCATCTTCTTGCAAACTTGTGAAAAAAAATTTGAACTACATAAAGATGACCTCTTTGAACCTCAGATGCTCTTTGAGTTTTCTGATTTTGGAAAGGTAAGCTGTCTTTGTAGGTGTGCAATGTGTTTCATCCTGAAGATAGTGCAATAATTACTTGAATCAATATTTGTGATGATTATATTGTGTGGTGATATAAGGTCAGTGGCTGGTGGTAATTTTACAGCACTTGTATTCTTTATATATTTTTCTTTCAGGTTCTTGCAACATTATCCAAGCTCAGTAAAACTTCAAAGGCTCAGCATTTACAAGTTGAGTAAGTATTGAAAATATTTTTCTCCCATTTTTTAATCTTCCTAGCAGGAATACCTTAGTTTTAAAATTTTTTATTTGTTAAAACAAGGACCAACCACCAGCACCATAAATACCCGCCATCACCACGACCACCATTCATCACCTTCAGTGCAAATATTGTTGTTGTTAAAGCAAACAAAGCACTAAGGAATGCGGCTGCTTGTAGATACTGCACGTGTCTTAAATTATGTATTAATTTATGTAAATTGGTTTATTTAAAGAACCAATCAAGGACAAAAGACATCAACCCCATTGAGAACTTTATATAAAGTTAGTTGCAGAGAGTACAAAGTGCAGATGATAATGTATAAACATATCAAGGTAAGAGAGAACTATATTTGTAATTGACATTTTGCACGTTAATGCTTTATCAAGTTCAGTTAAGTCCTTACAGGTGAAACATTATCTGCAAATATAGTTTATGCTCATCTTGAAATGTTAATTTATGCTCTGAACTAAATATTTTTAATATACTGTAGCTATTTTATTAATACTCTGGTTAGTCCATGTAATTAAAAATTATAGTATGAAGATGTCTTGCATGGGTTCTGTATATCGGATACAATGATTACCACATTTTTTATCATAACTGATACAGTATAGATTTTCATATTAGGATATAATCATTGTACTTTTATTTGTACATTTATGTATACTGTACCCTGTATATTATAATTTGTCAACAAAATAGTTAAAGGATTTTTTTTATTTTTTTCAGGGGGTTTCCTCAGGAAAGAGGGCAAGAGAATTATGACAATAAGATATATGAAACCCTTTCCACAGACATGGTCAAGTGAGTATTGAAAGTTATTTACAATTTTTTTTTTTGTAGGCTGAGCAACTTTAATGCTATGGTGATTCTTCTCATTGAAGGAGACAAGACGTAATTACACTGTACTGTACCTTATTGGTTAATTATCAGAATCTTCTCGACATCAGCTACTTGCTGTAGGGAGACGTCTCTTGACGGTGGTCGTAGGTATGGAATTTCACGCCTACATAATGTTTGTGTAAGAGTATGTAATGGCAATAATAGAAATATTGCTTTTTTTTGTAGTTTGGCTAAAGTAAGAATATTGTGTGGTCAGTAGCTACCACGGCAGAAACCAATTTATTTTTTTTAAATTGTTTTTATATCCTTTTCCTCAACAGAATAAGAGAGAGCTAAATGCAAGTTTTTATCCACATTTGGTTAAACCCAACTATTTAATTTAATTCACCAATACAGTTTGTACATTAACAATACATTATTGTATAACATTCTGATTTTTATATTTACTCATAAAAATGCTCATAATTTTCAAACTATATTGGATAACTGGAAACAAATTACTATATTGTTTTACTTGGTATAATGTTTTTGATGCATGTGAAGTAGAGTATAATACAATACCCAAAGTAACAAACTGAATTCAGTGGATTCCTCCTCAAATAGAACAAATGATTCCAGACCCTAGCAGTGCATCTGATACTCATTTTAATTTGATCTCTGCTGTTCTTGTAACCTTCACAATTGGTTGCTTCCTAGGGTGTGCTCCTTGCAAGTCCATTGTATAGAATCATGAACAGTCAAGGAATGTTGACATTCTGCACTGGCACTGCCGGAAACTTTTCAGACAACACTGCAGGGTCATGATGGTGCTAGGGATAGTACTGCAGAATATTCATTCCATGACTGCTGAAAGGATCATTCATAAAAACACCAATGCCCTTTAAAGCATTAACTACCATTAGGCTCGGTCCACCAAAACCCTAGGTGGCAGCACTATCATAAGAGGGGTTCCTTGACACAGTCCTAAAAAGAATGTGGTGTTTTGCTTGTATGCATTACCTAAAGTAAAAAATTGTCGTACTAGAAAATGGAAGCGGCTCGTGAAAGTGACGTTCTGTCCAGTTTTCTGTTTTGGGTCCTCTGGTAGGTTAAGAGAGGACACTTTAATTTTACTATTTTCTAGACATTGGGAAACCTTAGGAGGACAGGCTGTTCCCCCACATCATCTTGACACAAACTCAGATGGTCTCATTTGATCTCAAGGAAAAACATTTATATGGCTTAGCATTTGTGTGGAATGTACCTTTGATTGGTCATTCTGGTCACTCCAGTGACCCCCAAAACATCTTTAATGACTCGAAAAACTGTTTGAAAATGTTCCTATATTGCCAATTCTGAGTGTCATCTTCCAGCTGTTCATGATCCTTATTCAGAGGTTAGTGGATCTTACCTTAAGTGGCAAAAAAATAAGTTGGAAAATAGTACTGTATTATGTTGAATTTGGTCAATAGCCCTGTGAGTCCAGTACTGTGTAGCAAATTTATTGATTATCCTGAAGTCTTATCTGGTCCATCTGACATTAAACCATTCGGAATTCTTCTGTTGCACTAGATATTTGCAAGCTCATTATGAGAATCCATGATAATTACTTGCCATTTCAATGCACATCTTGTAAAATCAATGCAACATAGTTTTGTACAAAAAAGTCCTGTGTTCATAGCTTTCTCTCTAAAGTAAGTTTTGATAAGGTACTACATGAAAGACCCATGTATAAACTGCTAGCACATGGAATAAACAGCAAAATGATGTAATGGAATAAACCATGGTTAAAAACAAATGAAAGCAGAGGGTTGTCTTGTATGGAACTGAAAATGAGAAAAAAATGTTGAGTGGAGTAACACAAGGTTCCATGTTGGGGTCAACTCCATTTTGTAATATTGTATACATCAGTGACATAAGAAAAGCACAAACCACTTCATTAAATGTGCAGAGATCTATGGTAAAATTGGAAGTAAAAACAATATTGAGGTACTGCAAAGAGATCTACACGAGCTCTGCTAATGGTCAGAAGACTGGAAAATGTTTTTCAATATTGAAAAAGGCAAGACCTTGCATGTATGGAATAACAATAGACAACCTAACTACCATATCAATAGCACAACCTAACTACCATATCAATAGCACAACCATGAAGCATAATGATAAAGAAAAAGATATAAGAATTGTGATTCACCAGTCATTGAAAACTGCTCAGCATGTAAGAGCTGTGGTAAGAAACAAAACATTTTAAAATACTCAAATGAATCTTTGACTTAAAGGAATTGGTTATTCACCTGTACAAATGTAGTTTACCCCAATCTGGTTTATTGTATTCTGAGCTGTGTATCTTCTGGTAAATCGTTTGTATAGAAATGAACATTACTGGTGCTAGAACTGATCATTGTAGTATGCTGCTAGCAACATTTCTACAGTCTGATAATTTCCTCCGATTACTGCCTTCATTTTTGTAAAATGTTTTAATCTATGTTAGGAGTCTCCGTCATTCCTCCAGTATGCTCTGGTTTTCAGAACAACCTCTTATGTAGGACTGGCAGAAGTCTTTCTTAGGTCCAGATAAATGCAGTCAACCCAACCATCTCTTCCCTCTAAAATTTCTGTGGCTCTTATCATAGAAACTAAGTAGATTTGTTATGCAGCATCTTCCTGATCAAAAACCATATGGTTTATTATAATATCTCTCTCCAAGTGTTCTACCTATTTGGTTTAAATTTTTTCTAATGTTTTGACTACGCTTGTGAAAGATACAGGTCTGTAATTAAGAAGGTCTTGCCTGCTACCCTTTTGTTGACTAGAACTGTTATATGGAAAAACTATCTCCCAATACTCCTGTACACACGACTGAAAAATCAATTGAAGTAGAGTGCAGAGATCAGATGCACATTCTCTCGAAACTCAATCTGAAACTTAATCTGGACCAACAGCTTTGTTCCTACTTAGATTCTGGACCATTTTTTTTTCCCACTTCATCTGGGGACACTTCTGTGTACTCTTTTTTTTTTTTTTTTTTTTTTTTTTTATCTTGAGTTCTCTGAAAACATAATTTTAAACAGACAATTTAGAACTATTAACACTATCGGTAACTTTTGACTGGACTCACGTCCAATATTTTTCTCCTGAGTCCTAACTTTGAACCGGACTTGCGTCCACTACAAAAAATATTTGTATAAAATTCATTTTTTATCCAATCGACCTCGGGTTAGTATCAAAATTAGCGCCTTTAGATTGCACACAATTTGATACCAAAATGAAAGATATAACATGAAACTTGATATCCAAACACTTGAAAGATTATAAATAGGCTTTTGGTCAAAATATTAAAATATTTGTTAAAATTCTATTTATTGTCCAATTATCTTGGGACTAGTTTTAAAATGAGCGCCTTTACGTCGCGAACAATTTGATACCAAAATGAAAGATGTAACACAAAAATTTATGTCAGATCACTGGAAAGATATAAATAATTTTGTGATGATGAACATCCAGAATTAAAATATTTGTTAAAATTCCAGTTATTGCTCTATTATTATGGGACTAGTTTTAAAATACGCGTCTTTTTATTGCGAACAATTTTATACCAAAATGAAAGACATAACACGAAATTTGATGTTATCAAATTGAACGAGTATACACATTAGGTTGCAGTGTACAAATTGGTGCTCGTTCACGGGTAAATATAGGCTTTTCTGCTGGGAGGCATTCCAGGCTTTTGTACATTATATTCATACACATCTGTAGGGAATTTAATTGCGAACACAATGATACCAAAACGAGCAACGTAGCACGAAAATTAAGGTGAGAAAAATGGAACGAGTATGCACATGTTACTGATTTTGTGCGCTCACGGGTAACTTTTACCGACTTTAGGCTTTGCTGTTGGGAATCACGCCAGGCTTTTGGACATTACTGTCTCCACTCGATCATCCGGACTATATGGGAAGGACCTCCAGCCGGATTATCACATTTTTCGGATAATGGTACTTTCTCGCCTACGAGTCCAAAAGTGACCATTTCCAACTATTTTTATACTACAAACAACATAATTTGAATTGCCTTGCCACATACAATTATTAACTATTCAACTAGAAACCTCAACTTACCTTGTTGGTGTTCATCTTCTTGATTGATGCTACACATCTTGAAGTTAAGAATTCTTAACAATTTACGTAACCTATACTAACACAACACTAAAATTAACACTTAAAATTACTGTACAGTTCATTAACCCTTAAAGTGCGCATCACTTCATATGAAGTGTAAATCGTTTTACCAGTCAACTGCGCTTCACTTCATATGAAGTGTATGGGTACCGCGCACGATTTGAATGGCCCGCGGTGTAGCTGGGGGTCCCATACGCTGCCCAGGGGCTCTAGTAAACAGCGGCCATTTTGAAAAAAATCCAGCTCACGATCCGATGGCATGGGAGGCCTCAGTTTAGCGAGAGTCACCATGGCGAGCGCACGGTCAAACGCCTCACGGGCACGCACCACTCAGTCCCTCACCCCAGAGCAAATAGCCCACGAATTATTCTCTGAAGGTGAAGAAAGTGTGTTTGACGATTCAGACAACGATGAGGATTATACACAGTTGTCGGGTGATAGTAGCAGCAGCAGTGAAAGTGAGAATGACCGCCATGCCATGGCGAGGCCTATACGCTCTCCCATGCCTCCTCGCCCATTTTCTACCCCAATTCTACCACGACCTCACAGTTCCTGTGGATATTTTCTGTTTGAGGGTGACGAGTCAGAGGGAGGTGACTCCTTTTCTGGGTTTAGTGACTCAGATCAAAGTTTTATTGAGCCTGTGGCTGGTACCAGTGGTGTAACTGGGCGAGAAATTGTCGCGTCAGCAGCATCTCGCCCGGCCAAGCGCCACCGCATGGCACCACATGAGGGACCAAGACCCTCGTGTTCACGTGCACCCACCTCACGTGCACCCACCTCACGTGCACGTAGCCGCCGTGC